TGAAGTCGATTGAAGAATTTATGCTTAAAGTTGATTATGTGGTGTGTTAAAGTGCTTAGGAAGGTTAGTCACTATTCCTAAATATATCCTACCCGTCCCTTAGCCCACATTACAACCATGAAAAAGACCTAATTGATTTTAGATCGAGCGAGCCTACATTAGTAGAGATTTACATTAAGGGCAAGCCTATGGTACCAATTACATGCATGTGACTTCTTTTGTGAGGGTGAGCGATATTTTCTTTTGATATATATGAGTCCTTAAAATATATTTGATCATGAGATTCGAATGTGTGGATTCAACTTAATCTCTTGCTTTGGTTGTGAGGGCACATGGTTTTACGAGGGATAGGTAACATTATTAGACTTCTCTAGGATGTTGGGTGTTCAAGCCATGAGTGCATTGTGACATTGAGTTGGTTTTTGAGGCTAGGATAGTTGTGAGCATATTGTCTTTGTTGGAATATTTTTGAAGAATGACATAAGTAAAGGGAAGTGTATGATGATTGCATATGCTAGAGTTTAATTTGTGCTATTAACCATGGTCATTGGTATAGTGTACCTCAATTGTGTAAAAATAAAGTGCTGAAAGATAGAGTAAAGTGTTGGTTGACTCGAGGACGAGCAACGCTTAAGTGTGGGGTAGTGATGTTTGGCTATAATTTCATATTTTTAGTGCATTACTTACTTTACATTTTGATGTTTTAATGTTAAATTGTAATACAATCGTGCTTAATTGAGTTTATTTTATGTGTAGGTACTTTGAAGATGGGATTTTGGAACAAAATGCACAAAACAATTGGAGCAAGAAATATCCCTCGGAGCTGAGTGCGCGCAAAGACTAGACAAAGAATTGAAGAAAAATGGCCTGAACTAGCGCGAAGTCTAGCGCGAGGTCTAGCGTGTTCGCGCTAGTTCAGAAGCGGGAGGCAGAATGTCAGGCTATTAGCGCGAACAGTAACGCGTTCGCGCTAGTCTCAGTTCCGGAAAAGACTTGTCAGGGGTAAAATTGGAAGTCTGGAGGAAATTTTGTCTCCTTTTTAGTTTTGGACTTGGTTATTTCACCTAGGCTTTTTCCTACACTTATAAATAGTCACTAAACACTAATTTCTGGGAGACTTTTGGCGAGAGAGGGGAGGAGGACGTTTTTGAGAGTAAAACACAAGCACAGAGCCGTTGTGGAGGCCGGGTTTCATCTTTTCTTTCTCCAAACTTAGTAATTTTTATGTATCTTTGTATGATTTGTTGTTTTGCTACCATGTCTATGTGGAGCTAAGCTTCACGTTCTAGGGTTGTGGTTCTTTCATGACCATTGTTATTCGGATATTGATTTAATCCTGCACTTAATTATTTGATTGCTTGATCACCAATTGAATACTATCTACGAATCTAGAGTTGAACTCGAAAGTGGAAATTCTAGATTGCATATAGGATTGAGTAGAGCAAGTTCTTGAACTTGGGCATCGGGGAACGGATTCGCAATTAGGATAGACATATACCTAATTGCCTTGCTTGGTTGAAATACAGGAATTATAAATGCGTTCTTGTTGATTCTAACTCCATAGACATATAGGCGTTAGGTTAGCTTGAATAGGCGAGTAAGAACTCGATAGATTCTTATGAGCAATATTAACCCTGTCAACCAATAAACTAGATAAATTAGTTAGTCAATTCAATTGAAGAATACAATAGGAATGTTAGATAGCCCATAACCCTAGATCGTTTTCATTACATTGATATCATAAAAATCTGCTCTTTCTCTCTGTTTAAAGTTCATTATTTATATTCTTTATTTAATTAGTTTAGAATCAATTACTTCTAGGTTTAATTCTTGTTTAGATAATCAGGATAGTCTAATTTAGTTAATGGTTAATCACAAGTCCTCGTGGGATCGACATCCGACTTTTAGTCACTTTATTATTTGACGACCGCGTATACTTGCGTGTGCGTTTGGCCGCAACACTGGGGGATAAGGAATTTATCATATGCAGGGAGAGTACTATTGGTGAATGCAGTACTAATGCACATACTCACTTACTGGGCATCCATCTTTCTCTTGCCTAAAAAAGTTATCAAAAACATCATAGGGATATGTAGGAGCTTTCTATGGGATGGGAAAGCCTATACGAGCAAGCCATCTCTAGTAGCATGGGACTTGGTCTGCAGACCAAAAAGATAGGGAGGTTTAGGGGTGAATGACACTGCAGTTTGGAATGAAGCAGCCATAGCAAAATATGTATGGAACATAGCATCTAAAACTGACAATTTGTGGGTTAGATGGGTGAATCATATCTACTTAAAAGGAAGAGATTGGTGGCAGTACAAGGCCCCTACAGATTGCAGCTGGTACGTGGAGGAAAAAGTTTTGTT